CGTGGTTGCCATGGGGACCAGGGTCCTGGGCCTCATTCACAGACAACTTGGCACCCAGTATGTTTATTGGGTGAGGGGTCTGTGAATGTTTGTTAATCTAATGAATAATTGATTTATTAAATCAAATGAAAAATGGTGTGTCTGATTGGTCCAGACGCTACAAAACGTTACGTAATCTGACTTTGAAACACACAAAGAATCCAACTTCATTCATTCATCGCTATGGAAACGATGGTGACTGTAGCAGAATGAAACCTGAACTGATGGGTGCAGCGTCTGTGTGTGTCATGTGTCCAATTGAACCATATCAAGTTCCTTCACTGGTCCATGATGACAGATTCCTGTGGTGCTCTGGCTAGCGCAGCTAGACATTATTTTCACATTATGAGCTTGCATCTACGCATACCATCTGCTTTGATGCTTTCACAGCATTTCCACAAACCATATTGATATTCAACATTGTTGATGTGCAATAGGATCCAATACCTCACAATATTATACACAGTGTTCATTTTTTAAATTGCATTATGAACTGCATGATTTCCTTCCTGAGATAAGCACACTAATTTCTGGATGATTTGTGTTTATATTGGATCAAAACAAGAGTTACGGTTCCAGTAACAAGGTACTTTTACCAAAATGTAGAGATGTTTTGCACAAAAACACAGCATCACTGTTTTAGTGCACTTGAATTACTGTGGCCTTTTTGCCTCATGTGCAAGCTCAATATAGCATCTAAAGTAGTTAAGTCAGATTAATTGTAGTGAATCAGTTCGTTCAAACGATTTGTGTATATGAGCAGGTTCAAAAAATATCTATAAATATAAACATATTTTTAATGGTTTTAAAGATTTTTAAATCATTTTTAAAAATGAATTAAGATAATTAAAAAATAATAATAATACATACATAATAAAAATAAATAAATAAACAAATTCAAAAAAAAATTTCAAAAAACGTATTCACCTTTCCATGTGAAATATTTTACATCTCCTTTGTAATGTAAAATATTGAATTAAATCCTTGATTGTTGCTTTCACCTTGATTATATGAATTATGGTGCTTCTAGTTTTATTAGATACATTTATCTATTTGGTGTTCTCTTGGAGGTTTTCAAATTTTAATAAGCCACGTACCCCCAGAGGGATCCTACTTCTGATAGATGCCTCATGATCAAAAATATTTTTTTCCAATTCATAGATGAGTATGTTTTCAGTAAACGACTCCAACTTGTGTTGAAGCATGTGCTCCATTAATGAGTTAACATTAATGAGTTTTAAACAAGGTAAAGTTTGATGCAATCCACCCATAATCCATAACCATCCATTCCAAGAAGCTAGAAATGCCCAGACCTGTTTGTTATTCATGGCCATGATTATTTGAGACCAGCACATAAAAGCCTACATCACGAATACTTCTTTATCTATCCCTTCTTAACCTATATATTTATATACAGAACAGCTTTCTCAGAACTGCACAGAAGCAGCGTCTTTACTATAGCAAATGTATGCAGATGGAATTCATGTTCTGCAAAAGTCCCTAATTTAAGGTTACAAGGCAGTGTGTCCTCAAAGCACTGACTCACTGGTGTAGGATGACAGATGAGTGTTCGCTGAATAGACAGCCATGATCAAACTCCAGGATGAATTCTGGGCAAGCGTACCTCTTTTTTGAACAGTTACACAACTGAACATCTATGAAGACCCTCGCGGCAAAAGCTCATCAGCTGTGGAACTGTCAAAACACTGTATGCGCTACATCAATATCTGCCTACAAAGGTGGATGTGCTAAGAGATGTCCTTAAACAATTCATTGCAAAAAACAAGCAACGAAGGGCACATTTATATCTAGGACCAATATGGAATTTCTTATAGTATCTATAGCTGAGCTCTATTTGACAGCAATATGAAACATCTCTACCACTCACATTAATGTTCCTGAGTTTCTTCTTGCCCCTCTCTATTCGGCTGAGGAGTCTGTGATGTTCTCTAGGTGTTTGCTGGAGAAGGCGGTCATCGATGGATATGGTCTTCCTAAGAGGCACTCTATCCCTCCAAGGCTCTGGGACACGGCTCTCTGAATCCACACTCCGAGGAAAGCGCTTCACTTCCGACAGTGACGATGTCTCCCCTCGGTCATGGTCACGCAGCACTGACCCTGAAAGAGAGAAACAGACACCTCAAGTGATAACTGACACCCAGAGAGAAAGAAAACACCAGAGAATGAGGATAGGACCAAAACCTCCCCTCACAAGAACACACATTTTGAAGTGCTTGTGTTTTAAAATAAAGGATTCACAAAAATATTTAGGCCTAAATTTAGGATTTACGTATATGAATTGCATTTAAACTTCACATCTCTTTAAACAGTCTTAACATAAGCTTAATGTGATGTACATACATATGGAATCCTATTTCTGCCATGGGGTTAAAAAAATTAATAAATAATAAAATATTTTTTTTTAAAGTTGTAATTGCGACTTTTTATCTCACAATTCAAACTTTTTTCCATGCATTTATGAGTTTATATCTCATAGTTCTCTTTTTTTTCAATTCTGAGAACAAAAAAGTCAGAATTGAGAGATATAAACTCAGAATTGCATGAAAAAAAAGTCTGAATTGCGAGATAAAAAGTTGCAATTTTTTGCACTTTTTATATTTATATTATGTGGCAGAAACTAGCTTCCTTATATAAATGAAACAGGTAAGACAAAGTAAAAAAAAATATGTAATAGTACTAATAAACTGAATGTGTTTTAAATACAGAATAACCAGGTTTATATATTTATTAACAATAAATCCAATTTCATTCAATCTCATACATTTTAACTAATTGAATATTGCTTATTCCACAATGCAATGGAAATTTTTACCGGTTTCATTTATGTATAACTGACAAATATGCATTACAATGAGTTTATTAGTTTATGTTAAAACTGTGTAATCAAAATGGATGGAAATTTGATATGCAATTCAAATACATAAATCTTAAATTTAGGCCTAAACAGTGTAGAAAACAGCAGCACTGAGGAAGAATTTTGTATAAATGAGAAATCACTTAAAAAATAAAAGAAATATGAATAGAACGTTCTCACTTCCTCTCGATTCTCACTTTAAATGCTCTGATTAAACATCTTCCCACTGCTTCTCTAGTGAGTCATGTCTGTAACAATTTCACCGTAAAGAACACGGTGTAAAAAATTAATTACCACCTATTGTACCACATAGATGAATAAAAATCAGTTGAATGGCTAAAAATTTCACTTTCATCTCAAGTAACATTAAAAGTAAAGTATCTTGAAGATCTAATAAAGCAGTTCTTGTAAACTGGAGGCTTATAATGTAAACACACACATAAGGTATGTTTCTAGGTTTGTAAGCGGGGTGTTTGGTTTCTCTGTACAATCAGCTGGTGAGCAGCAGTTCTTGCACTTTATCCACTGAGCAACACATTGCATGGTTTCATCTCCTCCACTTACAATTAAAACTGCATGAAGACCTCGCCGTTACTGTCTTCCCCTCTGAGACGGTTGTGAAGAAAACATCCTCTGAAGTACATGTCAAATAAACATTTATGAATTCGGTTTTACAGCTACAATCCACTATGTTTTGCATCTGTAATGAATTTTAACGGTGTCCTGACAAAATCTTAAACATTTTGATAACTAAGCTCAAATAAATGATGCCAATTTGTGAAAACAATCAGCAAGCCACATAAATGCGGACGGTGAATAGAGATGGTAACCGTGGTCCATTATTTTGGCAGCACTTGACAAGATGGAGATACTGATTTTAAAGTAACTGCCTAAGGAAAGCAACAAACACTGTAGCACATCACAGTAATGGTATCAGAGAGTTCGGTTTTACAGCTACAATCCACTATGTTTTGCATCTGTAATGAATTTTAATGGTGTCCTGACAAAATCTTAAACATTTTGATAACCAAGCTCAAATAAATGATGCCAATTTGTGAAAACAATCAGCAAGCCACATAAATGCGGACGGTGAATAGAGATGGTAACCGTGGTCCATTATTTTGGCAGCACTTGACAAGATGGAGATACTGATTTTAAAGTAACTGCCTAAGGAAAGCAACAAACACTGTAGCACATCACAGTAATGGTATCAGAGAGTAATACTTTGATTTATGGGTGTTTTTTTTCAATGACACACACTTTTATGCCCCAGGGGTTGATATTTAATTATAGTTCTTATTGTTATATAAAGGTAAACATTTTACCATGCCACCATCATTTATTTTTTCCTACTTTTCAAAAGACATTTATGTGTATATTTTATTATTGTTAAATCTTTTATTATTATTCATAATAATAATCTTGACCTTTAAAAAATCTAAATTAATTACTTCAATTTTAATTATTTCAATATCAAAAAATGGTGCTCATCTGTACTGCCAAATGTGAAATTCCATGTAAATATTATTAACTTGTATTTTGGAAATATAAAATAACAGCAAGTCATACAGTATAAATCCATTTTATGCCATAAAGTTTAAAATGTCATTTTCTGTACCGAATGCTATTAAACACAATACATACTGTAATTTGAGATTTGTAAAATGACAATGTGTAGAAACACTTCATTTTCAGATCATTTTCTTAAAGTCCACAGGGAGAAGTGCCCATATTTGAAGAAACATCCATATCCCATGGTATTAAATGATTATCATATTATATCATATCATATCATATCATATCATTCTCCAAGATACTGCAAGCAATACCATGGTATTCACTAAAACCATGTTAGTACAATGGTATTTTAATTTTGAACTGCCAAGAACAATTGAAATAACCACACCAGAAAATAACCAGTCAATTTTCTTTAAAAAAAAACAGCCCAATTACTGGACTTCCGTGTTCCATTGACAAATCCACAAAAATAATCCACTGAAAACCTCAGCATTTTATGCCACTCAATGACTCTTATTAGTCACCCAGGTGTCAATCCAAGTGTGTATTGCACACTACAGCCTTACATTATATAATCTCACTTGTCAAACACATACTGTAGACTAACTTTGTTAGCGCATTGCTATGGAAATGATGGTGACTGTAGCAGAATGAAACCCGAACTGATGGGTGCAGCGTCTGTGTGTGTGTGTCATGTGTCCAAGTGAACCATATCAAGTTTCTTCACTGGTCCCTGACGACAGATTCATGTGGTGCTCTGGCTAGCACAGCTAGACATTATTTTCACATTATGAGCTCGCATCTACGCATACTATCTGCTTTGATGCCTTCACAGCATTTCCACACACCATATTGCTATCTAACATGCAAACTACATTATTAAAACAATATATCATATTGCCAACCTGATCCTGTTTGTTGCATTTAGATATCCATACCTGTGTAAGTAGTTGAATCTTTATATTAATACTGATCAGTCACTAACACAGTAAAGAGGTTTGAGATTTAATCCCAGGAGTCTGAGGTCAATAAAGACTCATAACCAAGCAGCTCTGTGTTATGTGAAGATGTTATATCACATCACCTGCGGTGACACTATTTGTAAACCCTCCTACAGCTTGAGTGTGGCTCCAGGGCTGAGTGCACTAACAAATTGAATGAGTCTGCAAAGCATTTTTTACAAAACGACCCCACTTTAGAGTCAAATAAGCGATCAAAACACAAATTATGGGATTGATCCAATTTGTCCAATTATTCATTATGTCTGAAAACCACCCATGGATGGACACAAGGACGTCGGCGTGTTGATGAAGCGCTGCGGCTGTCTTTCAAGCACGGCTGAGAGTAAAGCATTTGATAAGTGTAATTTAACACAGAGTCCAACTAAATTAAACACGTGAGAAGAATCTTAAGACCTTAAAACAAACTACAGCTGGTGCTAATGATCCCAGTTTCCATGACAACCATTTGGGTTCCATCTTCGTCATCCTCAAAAGCAATGGGTAAAGAGGTGTTGGCTCTAGGGTCACTGGTCTGTTCATTCATCGGGAAGGCCATACTTCTTGCCAAAAGACACACAGCATGTCATCGAGGGCCATTAGAGGAAGACAACATCTTTATTAACCATTCTAGGAAAGTTTGGCAACATATTTGCTGATAATGTGCAGGCTAGTAGGGAGATATGACCAAGACGATAGGACATCACATACTGCATACAGAATTAAGGACACAGTATATCATTTTTGAGGTTGTAAATAAAACAAAGATCATTGGAGTACGTTTTACAAAAAAATACTATTTCAGTCTGTCAACTAATGGTAATTCAATGTGTTACTTGCCATTTCTTTGTAATTGTGAAATTTACTAGCAATTTCTGAGTGAAAAATTATCCTACACCATTTTTTCTCAGTATAGTATGCATGTTAATTAAAAGAAATTGCAAATAATTATTTAATTCAACTATTTTTTATTTCATTTACTGCTATTATTTGTCACAAAACTGCACAGGGACACAAAGGCTGAGGATCCATGTGCAGTGGTTTATTGGAGGGATAATCCACAAATTGTAGTCAAAACAGGCTTGAGGTCGAATACAATAAGCAGTCCAAATAATGACAGAAAAACAGGCAGAAGAGCAAAAACCACAAAAACAAGACACAAGAGAACCAGGATAAAAGGATTAGAACTACAGCTGCGACACACGCAAGACTTAGCAAAGAAAGACAGAGGGCCTGTTTACACCTGGTCATTTCATGCGTTTCCGCTGATTGGATATCTATCTGATTTGTTAAAACGTTTCCATTTACACTTGGCCACATAAATGTGTCGTCGCAAAACGGATATAAA